CTCGACCCAGCACAACCCAGTCTAACCTGGTGCAACCAAGCTCACCCCTAGCCTGTTTTGTTCCCCAAATCAGGCCAACTCAACCCTTTCCACACCAGCACACCTTAGTTCTGTTTTAATGGTGCTCCAAAAGTCTCTCTTCAATCACTCATCCCCAATGACACCCGATCATATTCATTCTCTCCTCATAACCCATTTAGTCAGGCGCCTTCCACAAATTCTTACCCATTCCAGAAACCACAAAGCACTGAATCACCAGTCGTCCTTTTCTTGACTGAGCGAGTAAACATCCCAGTGTGACATACACAAGAAAAATTCCCCATAATTCCTATCTCACTGTCTCATAAATAAATCTCATTTTGCCAATGACAGCCTCCCGGTTCATCCAACTTTTTCATCATACACATTAGATGCAATTACTCTTCAGCTTTCCATCAGAGGAAAAAAAACGAGCACGATTCCTGATGGGCATAAGAAGAGAACACATCCAGACCGTAATTGATGGGACCATCCTGAGTATCGGGTGTAAGACACAGGTCCCCGTGGCAGTCTTGGCACCAGACTGCTAGGCTTCAGGCGGTGTCAGGTGGGAGCAGTTTACCTTTTCACCCTCTCTTGGCACCCTTGTCATCCATTTCAACACAGGTGACCGTTGGAGGAGTACTTTTTGAACTGAAGGGGGTATTACAATTGTCAAGTTTGGGGAAATTGATGTGGTTGATTGTCAATGCGGTGGGCGTTTCTATTTCCTGTGTGCCTGCTGTTTAGAGATTTCTTACACCTTGCATCCGGTTTTTCCCTCACAGAATGTGGGGGTTTTTTTTTGTTTTTTTTTTAAGGGACACATATCACTGCCAAGAGCATTGTTATATTGCTTTCGAGATAGTGAGACGTGGCCATGTTGTGAGCTTCATACTTTCTTCATGGCATGGTGCTTATTTCAGGGGGTAGGCACTGTGTGTGTATGAAGTGATAAAAAAATTTTTCCTCGTTTCTTTTTTGTGAACCAGCTGTCCAGAATTTCAGAAGTTTGCATGTTTCAGAAGTGAAGCACACAGGAAATGAGGACGCTTGTGTTATTGAGTATAACTGTGTAATGGTAGGTTCATCATTTGACATCAAGAAATATTTCTGCCAAAATTTGCCTAACTTCCAATGTTTTTGGTTCCTTGCAAATTTGCAGCATGAATAGTTGGTTACTTTCCTGCCAAACAGTCTGTCTGAAGCCCAGTGTTGTTATTTAAATTGCCTCTGATGTGTTAAAAAAACAGCCTCGAAACAGAGGAAAAATGAAGTATTCAGATTTCTTCCAGTGTACATTGTTTGGAAAAATCTTAAATTGAAAAAAAAAACAGAAACGTCAGTATGGGGTTCCGAAGTGTGACATCATGTGCACTGCAAATGAACGGAGTACGCACCCATGTTGGATCATGCACTGGTTCTCACGCTAATGTCGTTTACATTCACTTCGGTACTCTGTTGTGCCATTTGTGTTTAAACTAAAGCAAAGGTCAGTCCTCGGTCTCCTAGTGGTTGGCAGATGTTAGTCTCATTGCAGAGGAAGATATGATATAACCTTGTGACCTTCCACGAAGTAGATGTGTACATGTACATCTTCAGGCACACTGGAGTCGGTATTTTGTGGAAGGCCGCACGCCCCACTGAGAAGGGATTTTGGTCTTAGAGTCACCATCTGCCTTGGTTAGGCATGCTCCATTAATGAATCAGAAAGAAATTGAAGGAGCTTCAGTAATCCAGTTTTTTTTTTTTTTCCCTCGTCCGTGGTTATGAGCAGTATGCTTGGATTTGTCCCCCCCCTCCATTTGGCAACCGCTTCAAGGCTAGGGTCACCCTGATTGGCCCAAGGCAGAGGGCTGTGTTGCTCCACTGCCCCCTCGCCAGACTTTGTTGGCATTTTAATCACTTGAGGTCTCATCTTCAGCAAAGCTGCTTGCTCCATTTCCATGACAGACCGACAGAAGTTGGACACATAAGCGTGATCTCCCAAAAGGTCACATTTTCTAAGTCTTTTAGCGCTTTGTGCATGCGCAGCAGGAGTTACAACGGATTTTGGGCCTAATATGCCTGACATGATCGGCGTAAGTTACCTTCTTGACATTTCAGGTCTGATGCACAGAGAAGTTGTAATAAATGTAATGGGGCCTACATGCTTAAAACAAGGTATAAAAAGGGGCTTCTGGCCGTGCAGTTATTGTCTGACTTGTGTCTGGCTACTTGACTCCCTCACTTCTACTTGACTCCCTCACTTCTACTTAGAGAACCAATCGATGTCATGGAGTTCAGAAAATAGTTCCTTCATAAAATCTGGTGACCAGCCAATATGCCATGCATGACACGCTCCTCATAACTGGTGTTCAACTGATTTTTTTGCTTAATTCATAACATGCTTAGCAACATTTCTGCTTATTACTAATTAGCAGATCTATCAAATTTGGCCTATTTGTGTCAAGCACCTGAATTTGCAAAGTTGCATTGTAAATCTTCCTACGGTATGACTGGAACTATCATATCCCTTCGCAACATCCATTCACCTGTATGGAATGCTTGAGGATGGCTAATTATGGTATGCTGTAAGTTTTTCTTCTTTTTCCTACATTGTTGTGGATAGGCCCTAGGCAGGTTTGCTACTGGACAAGAACTTTTGGGAACTGTCATGATTTGAAGAACTGTTGTCTTGCAATTTGAAGTTGAGGGCAGAGGAATTCAAAGATTGGTTGATGTGCATGTAATGACATTTTTGGTCAGCTTAAATGTAAATGCACTACACACTAAATCCTTCTGAAAGCCATCGTTGCTCCCATCACCCCCCCCCAAATAAGTTGAAGTAACAGTAATTCCCTCCTGGAGTATATCGACTGACATGTAAGAAACTTTAAACTCTTGTAATGCAGACAATTTTTGTCATTGTTCACTGTGTGTTTCTGAATCTTCATTTCACTGAGGTATGAATTTGCCAAAAAGTACAAGGAGTTGATGTTTGAATGAAAGTTTGGTGCAAAAAAACATACCAGAACATTCAAACATGAATCTGTTCATATTTGAGGCTCAACTTTAAGCTATACGTGTTTGTCGCAATGATCTGTTCTCACAAATATGCCCGTGTTGGTACCTGTGAGTCATGCTGCTGTGTTGTGCTGTGCTGCAGAGACGAAAGTACTGGTACCCTGAACATATACTGTGCATCTGTGGAGGAATTCAGGAGAGCTGCAGAATTCTCGCCGGGTCATTGTGGACTTTCCATTTCAGTGTAATTACCTTCAAGGGGTCTGTTTACTCTGACCTTCTTCCACAGGGGCCGGCCTGTTCATTCTGAGCAGGCCAAGCTCAAAGCAATCAGAAAATCACCCACGGGTTTTGAACTGTCTTGAAGTTCGGCCCTGCAATATCATATCAAAGTGGGGCTCGCTCCAGTCGAAGAGTAAACAAATTAAGGTATTCTTGAGACAGAGGGGTTGTACGAGGTCGTCCCCAGTAGCCTACCAGTGATCTAAAGACTTTAAGCACACTGATCAAGGTGGGATACCAGTGTCACACGGGACAAGCTCCAGGCAGTCCAGTAGCCCTCCAATTCCAGCCTTGCCGCATCGGATGAGAGGTCCTGTAGCTTTCAACAATTTCATTTTTTTTTTCCCTTCTCTCTCACTCTCCTCCTTCTCTCTTTTCCAAACTGGGACGAGGCACAAGCGTGTAATCCGTATGTTTGGCAACCGAAATCCATTTCTGAAACTTGAGCCCTGCACAAACGGTCTCTGCAAATGTCAGCTGGTTGCCCCTGCGTGACGGATCGCGTGGCAAAAACGGGGAGCGACTGCAGATCCTGTTGTGGTGGTGAAAATTAGGGGTTGGGTTTAAAAGCTGTCCGTGCAAGAGCAGGACTCTGGCCAATATGAGCATCCTGGGCAGAGAAAGTTTTGGACAATTTGAATGCACTCATTGGGAATCTTGTTTTCTTTTGATATTTGCATTGTCAAGTTGACTCGGATGATGTTGATTAGACGCAACTGATGACACCAATGATCAGTGTTACACGTACATGTGTATGTTTTATGAAATTATAATGCACATGTACCCTGTATAAACAGTTGAATTTGGTGAGATTTATTAAAGAAAATGTTGTTTTTCCAATTACTCTTTTTTAGCTTGGGAAAAGTTTTAATCCATGATGTGTGCTCGGATGTCATTAGATATAATGTACATGTATGTTGGTTGTTTTGAGTTTGAAACGTTCTTCCAATGGAGACATGTTTCCCTTTAAAATGATGCGGCAATATGTGCAAATTTGATTTACAGTCAATTTTTCCTTTTGCGCCTTGGGGGATTGTTTAGCTGCAGGATTGGCCGAAAATTGGCAGCTAAGATTAAAGTCCTGTTGCTGCAGCAGTGTGTCAGAGGATGTGGACACGGTACTTGGGCCCTTTCCTGTTGCAGTGGTACATATCTTCTTGCCGGTTACTGTTTGTTTTGTGCCTTGTCGAAGAGCCCGTTTGGAAAAATTGCTCCAAATTGCTTTTGTTGAAATTGAATGTGACAAGTTCCTGGAGAAGCTGATAAAACTGGTCGGAGAGAAGGGACTGCTAGTGGTAAAACATACAATCGAGGGATGGATCATGAAAAAGGAAGGAATTTATTTGCTTTACAATGCAAATTGTTAAATTTCGTCCATATGTTCTATTTGGAGTTGTATCCTGAATTATTGCAAACAGTTAAATCTGAAAAAAAGAAACACACCCCAGATGAGGAAAGTCTGTTGTAGAGGTGGGAGGAAAGCCGCAGATAAATATTCCAGGGAAAACCCATGGAGCCTAATAGGGACTGAAAACGCAATCCACAAGTTGGCCAGGAGGGTCACAGAGGTGGAAGGCGAGTAAAGTACCATTACGCCAACCTGACTCCCAGTTACTGGGCACAGCCTTGCATATCCCGTGCTCTGATCGGTGGAAATGCTTTTAATGCTTCATTTTTTTCCTTTTCGCCGACAGTTAATCATGGCCGGTGGAGTGGGGCTGTACTTCAGTGCAACCAGAGAGCAGGCCTACTCAGGTAGCATCAAAGCATTCATTGTCAAGGTAAGACCATATCCATCACAGACATTGAGACAGTTTGCCTAACAATCCCAAATCCTCCGATTTCAATATGATTTAACATACAACCTAGGGGCTTCCCTGTACAAAACATCTTATTTTCTCCCTTTTCCGATACTCTCTGGACTGGTAATTTGCCGCTGGACATCCATGTACATGTATGTGTCCTTACACTTAATCTTGTTTGGGGGGGTAGGGGACCTCACACTTTGCATATTTTTCTCTGTGAGGACCCTAAGACAATGGGAGGACTCAGGAAAGTCGCAGTCATGAAGAACCTCCATACGGCGGCCAACCAGAGCATTTATGCCGACGCATTCCATCGTTCGAAACATTTTTAATCACCCTCATTGGAATGAGAAGCATTTAATTTTGCCTGATGGAAATGAAGATTTGTCCTTCTGTGTCGGAGTGCAAGTCCCTCATTGCAGAATCATGGTTGTGATTGTGACCAGGGGTCCACGTGGACTCGGTCATATACACGTACGCATTTACACTTGAGGAGTTTGGTCTACTGTGCCCAAGAGACTTGCCCCTTTGCACAGAAAGTCCTCTCAGGGTTGCACTTCAGGGATATTGTGTAAATTGACTTGGTACCAAGTTTTCTTGGTATTCATTGATCATTTGTCTGTTTGCATCAGAAGGGATTTGAATTATTGTTCAAAAATTGCTGGATGTTGTAAAAAGCTCTTTTTTTTAATGTTTTGTTTTAATTTGACTGTTACTGATTTTTAGTTATTGGTGAATTGGAAATTAATTGAGTGAAAGTGTACGTTTTATGCATAAGTTGCCTGCAAGGAAAATCCTTGTGCAGAGAACCCTGCAGATCTGGGTTTTCTGAGAAGAAAATAAACTGTTCACAAAACTCTGTAACAGACTTTTTCATCTGCAAGAGCAGCTTCTACTGTAACGGCATGGCACTGGTATTTGGAATACTCTTACTCCTTTGCCAGCCTCGCTCCCTGTGCCTGCAGGTGCAGAGACTGCATAGACTTCTGTACTTAATTGTACATGTAGATGGAGAGTACATGTACAGTGTACATGTACATGCATGTGCCGGTAGTCCCTTATACATACATTGTACATGTGCTTTGCCCCAGGATACATGTACTGGGTATATGTGTCCGAACTCAGTGGCGTAGCGAAGGCATTTTCCTTGGGGGGGGGTTTGTCAGGGTCAATTTGCCGACTGGTCGATGTACGTCAATAATTCGTGACGTCAATTTCAGTTTCAATTGCGGACTGACCCTTCATTTGCCGACTGAAAAGAATTATTGGGGGTTGAAACACCCCCCCCTGCTCACTACGCCCCTGTCCAAACTGTTGCATGCACCCGACGTTTTTGCCTCATGGGATGTCGTTGCTTGGTATTACTGGTCGCCCTCTATTATTCATGCCCAGGTCCATTGTTGCACTGCAAGTGGGCATGCATATTGTGCCTAGGTGGAAGTCCTTTGATGAGCAGTATTCTTTGATCAGCATACAGACTGATTACAAAGTCTGCCATCGGGGTATGAAAATGACTCTCAAATCCAGTGGTAGGATTACAACAGAATTAGTGTACAGCTTTAATCATGCTCAAACGAGGAGTGAAATCAGCAGTGGCTCATTTGATGTGCTCGTTAAAAGTGCACAGGAATTAAGCAGCTTCGGGTAATGAAATTTATTCAGATGGCATGCAAACCCAACCCGAGTTGGTGTCATATTTAGCATGCAGGTTTGAAGAGGGTTACTTTGTAAAAGACTAGTTATCAGTTGGATGCACTCCAGTCATGCTAATGGTATGCAAATGAAGATTTGTTGGTTTCAGATTTACAGTGCAAAGGTCTCGCACACAAAGACTGGGTCATGGTACTTTTTTCAGGCTACCCTTTCTGCACGTGTGAATAGGAATGCTTGGTAGCAAACTTGAAGAGGGAAAAATAGAATTACGTCAAGTGATTAACTCTTCCTCTAATCCGTTGGATTATACAATGGCTGCCATCACCCTACAAGTATGTGTGAGAGCAATCAATGAGGCTCCCCCCCGTCTCATGTGGATGAGTATGCAAATTAAGACAGTCTCGCTTCAGGCGAGATGAGGACGGACCGCCTAGCTCCTCGCTGTCTGTCACCTTGACAAAGGAGACAGTGGTCTCATCCATCGGGGAAAAGAAGAATAAGGAAAGAAAAAGTACATTGTACCGGGCCGCTGCGTGTTGCGTCACGAAATTGTCAAAGTCCAACATCTGAAAATCGAGTGCTAACAGATGACAGCTAACACCTGTTCCTACCCCGGGAGGAGGAAGTCGGCTAATGTATGCATAAAATATGCATTGTTTTGTACAAATACATTACAGTTTAGTCAGGAATGGGTATAGTAACTTTTCCCTTGCCCCTACTGACTATGTTTTGGTGGTCATCACCAAACGATGGTAATTTTCGTCCAACTTCAACATTAGGCCTAAGTCAAGTTGCTAACAATGAATTTGTTATCATTTCGGTATTAACATCTTTTAGAATGTAAAGATGATGTCTGCAGTGATCTATTTTTTTGCACAGCCAATCAGATTTTTGCAAATGAAACTTTTCGGTCTGTTCCATCTACATGTGCCTGTATTCCACAGCTTAAGAAAAGCACCTGGTGTCATGGAAACACCCACAATCCTTTGTGGGGTTGCTACATGTAGAACAGACCTTGTGATTCAGACCTTGAGACGTCTGCACTAGTAAGCAGGAGGTCGTGGGTTCGAG